GCTGAAGGTCCTATTTTGTCCCTGACAAATTTATCGAGGCCCTATTTGGTCCTTAACACTAAAAAGTCACCATTGCAGCAAACCTTTCAAACCACCATTGCAGCAAACCAAGGCTTATGCTATTGGCAAGGCTTATGCTATTCGATCAGATTTCCCATTGGCCAAGGCTTATGCTCTGATTCAATAAAAAATGATGATGATAAAATGAAACTAAAGTCGAATAGAGTATTTGGTGAAGGAGAACTGCATTTCATCGCAGGAAAATCACATTGACTCAAATTGCTCAAGTTTTGCATTGGTTGTGTAATAATGACAATAATATAAGAACCCACAATGAAACTTTTTTCCTCTATGAAGCAATATATTGTTTCATGCATCAGGGTTTAATTACAAAGGTTTCACTCTTACGACCTTTTAGAGGTATCACTTCTAAAGGAGTTCCTTGCAATTGCAAACAATGCATTAAATGAAAAGGGAAGAATGAGTTCTTTTTTCTTTTCTTTTTTCATGTGTTCTCCTTTTTCATTAGACAACACTTTTATTGTTACTCAAGACAGTTGCCATGATTTTGGAAAGTGGTGTTTTGTAAAAAAGAATGGTAAAAGTTAATTATTTATTATTTTTTTCATAGATCGTTGCATCTGTTATCATCATTACAAAGCTTGAACATCCATGAAATTTGTGGGATTGTTTGCCTTGTGTTTTAGTTCTGTGCCAATATTATTGATGGTTGCTTGGATATATGAAGTATGAACTAGATATTAGATTGATACTTGAACAAGATTGTATATATTAAGGTACATAGACTGGACAGAGACTGCTCTGGCATTCTGGTGATGGGAAGGACACAGACAAGTGCTGCAGTTTTGCATTCCATCTTCCGCGAGAAAACTTCCAGGGCGTCAGATGATGTGAGTGATAATTGTACTTTTTCATCAAATGCTTCATGCTGGTTGACCTGGATGATATAACCTCCAGAGCATTGGTCTATTATGATCACAATCTCAAGTTGCTATATCTGTTTCATTTTTTTCTGACCTTGTTCCATTTGATCCTTAAATAGATTGACACAAAAAAGAGAATCCTACAAAGAAGGTACTGGGCACTGGTCATTGGATGTCCTAGACGTTCAAAGGGGTTGGTTACTGCTTCATTGGGTAAGGTTGTATCCATATTGGCACTTCATATGTACTGTAGAAAGCTCGTTATATATTGTAAAAGATTGTTGTAATCCTTTTTTTGGTTTCAGGTGGTTGTTGACAATGGGAAATCTGATCGAATAGCATAAGCCTTGGCCAATAACATAAGCCTTGGTTTGCTGCAATGGTGGTTTGAAAGGTTTGCTGCAATGGTGATTTTTTAGTGTTAAGGACCAAATAGGGCCTCGATAAATTTTTCAGGGACTAAATAAGACCTTCAGCTGTTCAAAACTCCAACAAGACATAAGGCACCTTCAAAATGGCGTCGTTTTACTTCCACGCTGGCATACTTAACAGTGACTCAGCAAAGTAACGGTCCACACGTGCACCGTTAGTTGGGCCGTTAGATGCCAACTAACGGAAAGACGAACGTGGCCTTTTTTTTCAAAAATGAAACACTGAAATGTGACTTTTTTAAACCGAGGGACTAAATTGTGCTTCGCAAATATTTCCAGGGACGAAAAAAGGTATTTACTCATATATTTAATAGTAATAATAAATAAATAAAAATATCTGAGAAAATAAATCTAGAAAGATTAACTTAGAATACTAACATCCTTCATTGTTTATACATGGATGGAAGTCAGTACAAATATTTTACACTTTGAATATTTTACATCAGTTCCACACATATATTACATTTCTAACTACATCAGGTTACAATGTTTATTCTACATACTTCTCATTCTAGTCTAGCCTATAGGTGTAGGACTCCACACTCCCTGTATGGAATATGGCTGCTGCTCCTTGGTTTCCAACTATTATGTAAAATTCCCAACGATTGTCATAAAAATAAATATTCACATTTCATCCTTCTCCAGAAAAAGATAAGTTAGACATGATGGTTTTCTAGAAAGGTTAGCACAAAATAAACAAATGTGAGATAATTCTCAGTAATATTGAAATGTTTAAACTATAACCATTTTCAGCCATAATAATGGAAAATATCAATCTCCCAAGTTTATTTCATAATTGAAATAATAACTGAAATAATAACATAAATAATAAATAATAATAACAAATTGTGTAATATTTAACTGAAGCCAATTTAATTTCCAATTTTGTGGGTCTCTTACTTGTGAAAAGTTATGATATGACGGAGCTTAAGCATGATAAGACGTCCCTTACCCTAACTATTTGATCCCAAACTTTTGAGAGTCAGTTCACAGTAGTAACATACAGTTAAAATGTACACATCCTCTTAATATTTATTTGGTACCAAATAATTTATTGTATCTTACTGCTAAGGAAAATTTAAAATTTGATGAAAATCTCAATAACATGAGGGGTAGAATAAAATTAAAAGAAAGATTAAGGTAGGACTATAGATGCAATTAATATTAAATAAGAGAAGAAATTAAAAAAAATATTTTGATAGAATAATAGCTTTACAAATTTTTACAAATAAATGAAAAGAATATAACTGGAAGGAAGAAAATAGAGAGAAAGTTTTACTCTCTCAATATTACTTTTCAACTATTATATCATCGTCTTCTTCCTCTTTATTGCTCTCTGTGAAAATTTCTCAACTTTTCTCACTTTTTCTTAACAGTCCCGCCCCTTCTCAATCTTTCTTTTCTAACAACATGAAAGGGACAACACCTATCTATCTATATATATAGTCACGTTTGCAGGTTGATTCATTCCCATTTTTTTTTATCATGCATCATTTTACTTACCTTACTTAATTGACATAATCACATTCTAGTAACTTGTAATTGTGGCTTGGAGGGGGTGTTCCATGTGGCCCCCTCCTTGCCATATATATATATATATATATATATATATATATATATATATATAATACTATCTTATGTATTAATTTAAAATAATAAATAATATTTATTTACTTCTTAATAAATAATAACTGTAGTATCATTATTATTTATTAATAATGATTTAGGAGGGTGTAGTAATATATTTAATTAAAAATAATTTACTGTGATTTTAAATAAATAAATTATACATAATTTAATATATTTTTATTCATTACTAATACTAATTTATTTATTTACAGCAAACAAAATAATATTAATAATAATTTATTTATTCATTATTATTATCAATATGATTATTACTTTTATTATTATTATTATTATTATTTTATACATTATTATTTTATTTTATTTTTATTTGGTTATTACAAACCGCTACTCTAAGACACTTATTATGATCTCTGTCATTAATTCCCTACATGGGAAAAAATTTTATTATTAATTTTTACCATTAATGATATTTCCTTTCACATATAATATTATATTATCATGATTGTCTTGTGCTTCCTCATTCAATGTACTACCTTAGGAACGTGATACCTCCTTATTTGAGAGATGGTCACCAAACTTGTTAGGAAGGAGATCAACAAAGTGGTCTCGACAAAAATAAACATATATATTACTAAGGGTAATATATTTTCCCTGCACACTCCTTAAAAAATAGGTAAAATGTGTATATTTTTAAAGGACAAAAAATTATATTCTTTGAAGAGAAAAATAGACTATGAGTTTCACGGAAAAAATAAAATAAAAATAAATATGCGAGTCTCACCTCTTTCTATTTATATTTCTTTTAAAAAGATATAAATATATATCATTTAAAAAGATATACATTCTGTTATAAAAAAATATACATTTCTCCTAAAAAATAGGCCATTAATATTTTTGTATGCGGTGGGTCCCAGTTAAAAACGTGTCAGCACTAGAGAAATAGTTTCTCCAAAAAAGAAATTATTCCCCCTATACCGAGACATTGAAGTACCGAATACAATTTCCTTTTAAACATACATAACTTTTTAGATTAATTCCTGCACACTCGTTAAAAAATATGCCATTAACTTTTTTTATATGCGGTGGGTCCCATATTAAAAATGTGTCAGCAGTAGAGATAATAGTTTCTCCAAAAAAGAAATTATTCTCTCTATAACAAGACATTGAAGTACCGAATACAATTTCCTTTTAAACATACATAATTTTTTTAATTAATTATAGAATGTAGAGGATTCTCACGGGCATAATTAAATAACAAAACCGTGGCATTTACTTTTCAATCCCCTTAAAAAAATAACATACCACATTGTGTTTTTAAAATTATATATTAAGCAATGAGGATTTTAAATTAAGTAATAAAATAAAGAGATAGAATATTGTTATTATTAATTAGTGTTACTATCAATGTTATTATCAGTTTATCTTACTGTTATATTGATTACGTTATTTCAACAGTTCTGATTTAATTTTCTACAAATCTTCTTTCTTTTTTCTATATTTAATACTTTATATTTATTTTTACTTTTGTATAATTATAATTTCTCACGCATTAAATATGGAGAATCATAATCATATAGAAGTGAAAATAAATATAACTGTTAAATCAATATAATCGATTTAACGATGAAACAAACTGGTAATGATATTGGTAGTAACACTAATTGATAATAATAATATCCTATCTCTAAAATATTAGATAATAAAAAATAATTTTTAATTTTATAACTCTTTTAATTTTTCTTTACTTTTTTGGTATGGAATAATTGCATATTTAATTATTGCCTTTTAGGGTGCAAAACTGTCAAAACAGATAAACCACTATCCTATCCAAAAAATAAAATAAAATAAAATAAAAAATAAAAAGCTAACCAAACCAAACTCTTGTCTTTGTTTGGACAAAAAGACACTGTAAAACACAAAAACGTAACCGATTGTTTACACTTGCAGCTTGAGATTCCTCTAATTCCTTCTTTAAAAGCCTTCCTTTTATGTGTGCTAAGCTCGAATCTCAAAGTTTGCACTTATCACACAGATCATGGGTTTGTGGTGGTGCATACCCAGATCGCTTGTAGTTGTAGCAGCTGCTCACGCATTGTTCCTCATTGTTTGTGCACTCTGCGTTTCTCAAGCTCTTGGGGTCAAAACCTCACAACAACCCCATGGCCATGTGTCCCACCCATTCATTTGGCCTTTGCCTGAGAAATTCACATTCGGCAATGAGTCTCTTTCTGTTGACCCAGCACTCTCCCTCACTGGCAATGGTGCTGCATCTCCCATTGTCCTAGCTGCTTTTGATAGATACAAAGGGATTGTGTTCAAGCACGCTTCTGGGTTTGGCCTTCTCAGAACATTAAGGACTTTCTATGATGTTGCCAAATTGAACATCACTGTTCATTCCAACACTGAGGAGGTGGGTTAATTAATTATTTATATGTTTTTTTTTCTTTTTTTTTTCTGGGTCTTGAAAAAGTTTTAATTTTGTGATTGGGAACTTGTGTTGTAGCTTCAACTTGGAGTGGATGAAAGCTATAGTTTGTTCGTTTCAAAAGCCAAGGAACATTCAGTTGCTGGGGAAGTGACAATTGAGGTGTGGTTTATTTTGAATTTTATGGTGTATTTGGGCGCACCCAGACGGGTATTTATTTTTGGATTCAAATATTCGATGATTTTATATCGCTGTGTAACTCTGAACTTTCCTTTTCTAAGTTTGAAGTAATTTCCTTTTATATAATATGTATTTTAATTAAATACATAATTTTCTTACCAGGAACAAGTCAATCAAGCGATTAGGACTTATATGTTACATATTAGCATTAGTAATTTACTAGCGCACTTATTGATTGAAGTGTTTTTGTTTTTACGGGTAACAGCGATTTTTTAATAAAGATTTAGTGTTGTGCTTCTCTTAATTTTTTTTTGGTAAACTGTGTTTCTCTTCTTATTGTTGGAATGGACCAAAACATATAAATTGCAATTTGTTGTTTATTCTTTATTTTATTTTATTTTTTAAACTTAAAATCTGATGTATAGTCATTTCTAAATGATCGTTAGTGATCTAATTTTTTGATTTTGTTTATTGTAGGCAAATACTGTTTTTGGTGCATTGCGTGGATTAGAGGTATGTATAGAATTTGCAACTCAATCTGGTCAAATTTTTTTTTTTTCCTCCTTATCGTAGATGGTGAGGAAATAACAGTTGGTGAATAGAGAGCAGTTTGTTCTTGTTTATAGCTTAAACTTATGATGCTTTGATGACATTATTTTGTACATGATAAAAGGAGTTGGGGGTACCATATATTTCGGGAGAAATTTAGAATTTCAGATTTTTACTCTTTAAGATAACTTATGTTTTTTTTCGATCTCCATTTTTCATATTTTAGGTTTGTATTTTCTCCATAGGATTTGCAAAATCCATAATCTGTTATTTTCATGTATACTGGTTAATGTGTCAGCAATTTGAAATGATGTATTTCTTTCATTCTTATACCTGTTGGCATATAGATAGGAAGTTGCTTAAACTCAGTTTGTATTATATATATTTTTTTACCTTGAAAATGAAAACTGAACAACTGTTGTTTTTGTGTTTCTCAATGTGTATTGTGGTCACAGCACATTACCTACTTTCTAAATGATTGACAAACTCGTAATTCCTTTTGTCTTATGCCTCACCTATTTCCTTCATTTCTTTTCCTTTTTTATGATGCACCAGACTTTCAGCCAGTTGTGTTCTTTTGATTATACAACTAAAACAGTACAAATATACAAGGCACCATGGTCCATCCGAGATAAACCTAGATTTGCATACCGTGGGCTTATGTTGGGTGAGCCAAATTTTTTATAATGAAAAAAGTTTATAGTCCGTGAGTGATTATATGCTATGATCTGAGGTTATTGATACATATCTTGGGTTTTTATTGATTTTGCAGATACATCAAGGCACTATTTACCAATTGATGTAATTAAGCAGATAATTGAATCTATGTCCTATGCTAAACTTGTAAGATAAACATTATAAGTTTCTTTTTCTTCCCTCCCGGAAGTTTTGTGACAATTGGAAACCAAAAAGAAGCGTCTTCTAACTAGCATACCATGCTATTTTGTTTCATGTAATGCTGATATGAAAAATTCTACACGGAAGAATGTTTTACATTGGCACATCATAGACAAGGAGTCATTTCCTCTTGAAATACCTACATATCCAAATTTGTGGAAAGGTTCATACACAAAGTGGGAACGTTACACTGTAGAGGATGCATATGAAATTGTCAAGTAAGACTCACCTTATTCCATCTCTTTCCAATATATTAGATTTAATGGGCAAGGGGGATTTACCAATGGGAAAAAGTCGAAAAAAATAACTGAGTCAGGTCTTTGATAAGATCATATTTGCCTCAAACTATCCAGTTATATAGAATATTGCAACTACAAATATTGTATTATAAATCTATCACTCTCTCCAAAAAATTTGAACAGGAAATTTTAGACAAAAAAATTGTGCTAGAAACTCAGGTGAGAAGAAGATAGTGGAAAATATGTTGTTGTTATCTCAAAACAATATTAAAATATCCTGATCAATTGATCCTTGCCTTTTATTAAATTGTTACTTACTAGTTACTATCTTTGAGTTGGCTTTCTTAATCTAACGCTGACCAATATTTTGTTCTCTTCTCATGCTTTGCCTTGCCTTGCCTTGCCTTGCCTTGATATAAAGCTTTTCCAAAATGAGAGGTGAGTTATCTCCGAATTCCATTTGAATTTTCTGTTTCATATTATTTGCATTATTTTGCTGTTCTGGTCATGATTTTGGACTTCTTTAGTTTTTTTCCTTTTATCCCTTCCATCGTTCTTAGTATCGTGCAAGATAATGTGTATTTGCATGGTTTATCACAGGCATAAATGTCATGGCGGAAGTGGATGTCCCTGGTCATGCAGAATCATGGTAAGGCTTATGTCATGGTCATTTTTTCTTAAGCTGATAGACTGATAGTATTATAAATTTATATTATAAATTATAAATTTATAATAATGCCTTGAAAATGATGAAAGATGAAAACCCACAAAATTTATTTTTACTTTTACAATTTATTTTAAATATTTCTTTCAAGAAAGATTAATTTTACCATAGAAAAGTTTATGTTGCTCCAACAATTTTTTATTTCTATTGGCTACTATTATGCACCAGAAATATTTGAAGGTTTTTTTTGGTTTCCTGTTTAGGGGTATTGGATATCCTGATCTTTGGCCATCACCCTCCTGTAGGGAGCCACTAGATGTTTCGAAGAAGTTTACTTTTGATGTCCTTTCTGGCATTCTAACAGGTTAAGTTCCTATAAAACATTCATCGATGTATTCATATGCATATTCAACTTATTTCTTCTTCCGCCTTACCCTGTCCCTTGCTCTATCGTACAGCGTTATCAGTATTATGGGTATTATCTAAACCAGTCTAAAGAACATCACAATCCCTGCCCATATCTTTCCCTGGTACTATGTACAATGATCTCATAATTAATTTTCTTTCATTCTCCTTTTCTAAATTTTTCAGATATGAGAAAAATATTCCCATTTGAACTATTTCACTTGGGTGGTGATGAAGTGAATACAGGTCAGTATGCATGGCTTTCTTCTTACAAATTGCCAAAGAACCATTGACCTAAAAGCTGAAGCTATTAACCAAGGGCCTAAGAATCATTTTATTGTTAGCACAACATTAAGTTGATCACTATAGTGATAAAATGTGTAACAGTGCCCATGTGTGTGACTTCATAACAGTTAAAATAACAACAATCATAATAAAAAGTAGATTTTGGTTTAATGTAATTTTTAAGCTATTTTGTATCAATGCTAATTGATAAAAAAAATTATAATTTATTTTGACAGATTGCTGGAGCAATAGTTCTCAAGTGACCGAATGGTACAAACCTTAGCCTGTTATATTCATTCATTCATTATATGATGACTTTTTTTTGCCTAAAGCAGTAAAGCCATTAAATCCATCAAGCTATGGAAACTCAAATAAAACTCAAAATGTGAACTTGAACATAAAAAGTAGTTGTTTTTACCCTTATCTGAAGCTGAGAAAAAGTAATTCAGAAGGGATTGCTGTTGCTGTATGCGACTCACTTATACTTTGCGATCAACTGTAACTTTGGGATTATTTGCTTATGAAGCATGCAGAGGAATTTAGCTACTCTATTTTTGTTAGCCACTCGATTTTTGGTTTTGAGCATTGAGATGGTGATCAAATTTCCAGAAAATTAACCATCGTGATCCATGGATTTGATTGTTTGTCAATGTATCAAGCACAATGTTCAGACGTGATTATATCTCCAATGCAGGCTCCGGAATCACCACATGACTGCTAAAGATGCCTATCAATATTTTGTACTGAAGGCCCAAGACATAGCTCTGTCCAAAAATTGGATTCCTGTAAACTGGTATGATCTGTATATATGTGGCATTATACCATAAAAAGCTCATTTATACCCTCTATTTGTCTTTCATCGATATCTCTCCTAGTATTTCAAATGGCAGTAATAGTTTGCATGTGCATGAACAGTACAGCATCTATACTATTGTCTTCTGTACATATCAATAACTATGAAATAGTACTTCTATTTACAATATCATGTTCTTCAAATGTAGACATATTTTTTAGATATGACTTTTTTTATGTAAATTGTCAGGGAAGAAACATTCAATACATTTCCAACTAAGCTCCATCCGCAGACTGTTGTGCATAACTGGTGAATTTCCATCTATGTAGTTTTTCTTTGGTATGAAACTCAAATGTCTCAGTTTCAGAATAAAGAATTTCAAGTAATTACTGTAGGCTTGGCCCTGGGGTTTGTCCAAAGGTTGTAGCAAAAGGTTTCAGGTGCATTTTCAGTAACCAAGGTGTCTGGTATCTTGATCATCTTGATGTACCTTGGGATGTTGTCTATACTGCTGAACCACTAGAAGGAATACAAAAAGTTTCGGAACAAAAACTTGTACTTGGAGGAGAAGTTTGCATGTGGGGGGAGACAGCTGATACATCAGACGTTCAGCAAACAATATGGCCTCGAGCGGCCGCAGCAGCAGGTTAGCTGTCTTGCTAATACAAAGCTGTTCGCCATTCTTGTATTATATTCATGGCTTTTATTGTTTGACCATATTCCTTGCCTAGTAAGTATGCAATATATCTTATGTGCAATTGGTAATTCTGATGATGGATCAGGCAATTGGAATACCTTTTGTTTTGAAATATGTAAAGGCTTATTTATAAGTTAAAACTATAGTTGCCTCCGTAATAGACAATGACCAACCTACCCTGAGTACTTTCCCTTTCTTGTGGGTGTTTTGTGCATTTGGGCCTTCCTAGGAGAATACAATTATTCCTGAATTTTTTTTCTCTCATTTCCCTCTTCTATTTAATTAAAAAAACAGAAAAGCATGTTATCAAAAAAAAAAAAAAAAAAAAAAAAACAGAAAAGCAAAAATCAGTCTTCCTCAATCTCTAATCACCCATATAAAAGGTAAAATATGCAAGCCATGTGAAGGGCTCATAATGATGGCGTATCCACTATTGCTTGGTGGATACCCCACTATTTGAGGATTTAGAATATGATACATATGTCTTTTATGTTTATAAATCTGTCAATGTTTTGTCTTATGTAGAGGTGCCTCTTCACTTTGTCATTTTCCTTTGTTATATATACTTCTTGGGTAGGTGGGAGAAAGACAGTGGGATTGGGGAAAGGTAGGCTGCTGAATTTGATTATGCAAAATTAACTATTATTTGTTTCCAACAGAACGCTTGTGGAGTCCGAGAGATTCTACTTCTGCAGGAAATATTAATTTAACTGCATTGCCCCGGTTGCAATACTTTAGATGTCTGTTGAATAGACGAGGGGTTCCAGCTGCACCTGTCACAAATTTTTATGCTAGAACTGCTCCTATTGGTTCAGGCTCATGCTTTGAGCAATGATCTTATCTGTCCAAGTATAGACTGTTGTGAAAGTAACTCTGCCTGGTTGACGAACTAGAACTCTAACTTGATGTTCAACTCCTTGTAAACTATGGGTTATTGAATGTTAGAGCTCTCTGGTGAACTACAACAGTCATATTGTAAGTTATTGTTGAATCCAATAAATAATAAACTTGTTACTTCATGTGTTTCTAAATACTAATTTAATGTACTTGTTAATGCTTGAACTTGATCCATATAGAAAGCTGTTAACAACATCATAAAGTTGGAACCAAGTATTGGTTTTTCAGACGGAAATTTGTTTTGAAGTCCATGGTTCAAATGAATCTTTAGTGTGCCTGAAATTGAATTGAATTAGTAAACACAAGAAAAAAATAGTACCTATTTTTTTTTTTTTCTTGTTAACCATTTAGCAATTAATTTTGTTTTAAACTTTTAATTTTTTAATTTTTGATTAGAATGGAGTTCTATGACCTAGTGTAGGCAAAATGGCCCGATTCGACTTCGATCCCAAGATCAAACAGTAATCTTTAAGAGGGTCTTTGGTAAAAGATAAATTTTTTTTATGCCTAAGAATAATGATTCTCAGAAATATATTGAGAAAATAAATTTATCGAGAACGCTATTAAGAAGTTATTTGATAGTCCAAAATATTATCGAGAATGTTATTAAAAAGTGTGTTAAATTTTTCCATGTTATGGGAATCCAAGAAAACCATCCTCTTAGGTGGTATTTTTGGATATCATTTTGGTTCAAAAAGCTTTAAATTTTTTTTTTTGAATTTTTTTAACAATTCTTATAAATTATATCAAATGTGGATTAATAGAATTTCCATGTCAGTTTTCCAAGGATTCAAATTTTTTCCTTATACCAAATGTCCTACAAAATTCAGCGTAGAGTAAGGCTACAGTGCAAAAGACAGGTATTGTTACTTTACTTCTACTTATCTCACATTTCAATTACTATTTGAGCTAACGGAGGTCCGAGTAGCATTTAAATACAAGCTAAACTAGATTAATATTTGGTTACTTAAACATCGGTTAAATTATCTTAGAAGTGTCTGTTTAGAAAAAATACCCTATCTAGTATCTAGGAAGTAGGAACATAATTCCTCCTTTTAAGGTGTTCGATTGCTCCTTATATACCTTGGCCAATAATTTACCGCAAGGTCACGAGAAAGTAATGATGTGATGACAAAATGCCCTGAAATTCTAAACTATATCGATAATTTCCCTTGAAAGCTGCATGTTGTTGACGACTATTAGAGTTAAAGAAAAGTGTTGCCTTTAAATTCTTTTGCTATATTTTTTTAACATTATTGCGATAATTTATTTTGGCCTTATTAACGAAGGTGAACTCAACTTATGGTACGTAGTCAGTATAAAATTTCACTCAATAATAAAAATAGTGTTCAAATCAGCATGTCAAAGAATGCCCTAATTATGATGTTAAGAACTAATTTAACCCAAGTTAGTGTTAGAAATATATTGTAATTAGTATTTTTTCTTATTTCATTAGGATTTTGTATTAGGTTTGATTGTATTAGGTTTGAGCTTAGCACATTAGTATGTCTATACATTGTACATCCTTCATCAGTTCAATACATACAGTTTATTTCAATGTTCCTATCTTTTCTTGTTATTTAACAAGGTACCAAGAGCATAAGGAACCTTGTAAATTTTTTTTTCCGGTAAACCCATTGTTCATCGTCTTTTAAATTCTTTCCGGAACTGTCTCGCAGTTAGTTTCCGATACGTTTTCTTCCGCATTCAGGCTTCTGTCTACGTCAACCACCATCGTCCGGTGGAGTTTTCCGGAGAACCGCATACCGGCGTGCTCGTCTTGGAAGCGCGATCACAACAGCATCGGTCGCACCTCCAACGGACGTCTCACGCGCCTCCACGCGCGCGTGAAAGTTCCGGCCCTCTTCTCCACAAGGCGGTGCGTGGAGCCTCCTTTCTGGCCGCGACTGGTTGCGTTCTCCTCGTCTCACTGTGACGGTTCTGGATATGGTCCTGGTTTTGTGTTTGGACTTCGTTTTGTGTTGACGCACAGATCCCTCTTCTACCAGTTAGTTGTGTGATCTATCTTTTTGATTATTTTTTCTACTATTGATTATGGACTCTCCTGTCTCCAATGTTTCTGGGTCTCCGGCTGGACAAAAGTCGGAGTCTACTATTTTTTCAAATTATATCATTGCTCCGTTGAGTGTGGATAAATTGGATGGATCCAACTATGATACTTGGTCATCCGATCTGTGCCTTTGGTTGGAAGGACAAAATTATACATCCTATCTCACCACTAAGGCTGAATCTGTGACGGCCACTGAGCGCACACAATGGAAGATGATTGATGCTCAGTTGTGTAGTCTCATTAAAGCTACTCTTCATCCGTCCATTAAGCAGATTTTTCGACCTGCTAATACCTGTGAAGCTATTTGGAGTCAGGCAAAGGCACTGTACACCAATGATACACAAAGACTCTATGGTGTGTGTCAGAAATTGATGACTACTTTTTCTCCTCGGGACTTCAATTGTCCTATGACTGAATATTTGGGGAAAGCTCAAAGTTTACTTCGTGACCTTAAGGAACTTCTGCCTCTCACTGGTGAAGTTACTAAGGAACAGGAACAACGTAATACACTGTTTATGTTGTTCATTTTATATGGTTTGCCTGACCATTTGTCTGCCAATCGGGATCAAATTTTGGGATCTGCTACAGTTTCTACACTGGATTCCGTGATGTCTACCTTGCTTAGGATTCCCTCTAAGCCCTCTACGTCACCAGCACCTCCTATGATGCATATACCTCCAGTGGATTCTGTTGACTCTTCCGCTCTTGCTGCTCAAGGGTATGGTCGTGGACGTAAATTCTCTAAAGGAAAGCTATTATGCACTCATTGTCATCAGACCAATCATACTGTTGACCGCTGTTGGAAGCTTCATGGAAGGTCACCTCCACCTCCTCGGAATGCTCATATTGCTCAGGCTTTTTCTAGTACCTCTGCTCCAGGGTTACCTTCCGGTGCACAACCTCTAGCTGCTCTTCTTAACGAATTTGTGAGTTGGTGGTCTGAGAAGCAAACATCAGGTCCTACTGTATCCATTGCTCTCACTGGTAATTCTTTTGCTGGAATCTCTCAGTTGCACTCTATAGGCCCTTGAACTCTTGATTTTGGGGCTTCTGATCACATTTCTGGTAATAAGTCCTTATTCACTTTCCTTTGTACTACTGGTTCTTTTCTCACTATTACTATGGCCAATGGGTCTCTGGTCTAATCACGGGGGATTGGCACGATTCTTCTTTTACCTAATTTATCTCTGGATCATGTTCTCTATGTTCCAGATTCTCCTTTTAACTTACTTTATGTTAGTCGTTTGACAAAATTCATTGACTGTGTTGTTTCTTTTACTAAAACCTCTGTCATCTTTCAGGATCGGAGTTCGGGGACGGAGATTATCAAAGGATGTGAGTCTCAGGGCCTCTATCAACTATTTCCTTCTTCTTCAGCCTGCTCCACTGTGGATTCTCCTCTTACTATACATGCTCGTCTGGGCCATCCTAGTCTTGCAAAGCTTCAGAAGATGGTTCCACATTTATTGTCTCTTTCCAATTTAAATTGTGAGTCTTGTCAGTTTGGGAAACATACCCGTAGTACGTTCCCGAGTCGTCTTAGTCGTACGGCTGTTTCTCCTTTTTCTGTGGTCCACTCTGATATTTGGGGACCAAGTCGTCATTTTTCCACTTTAGGATTTAAGTATTTTGTTACTTTTATTGATGATTATTCCAGATGTACTTGATTATTTTTAATGAAAAATCGGTCTGAGTTGTTTTCTATTTTTCAGTTATTCTACAATGAAATAAAAACTCAATTTGGTATTCCTATTCGTACTTTTCGTAGTGATAATGCATGTGAGTACTTATCTCATCAATTTCAACAATTCTTTTCATCTCATGACATTCTTCATCAAACATCTTGCCCTCATACACCCCAACAAAATGGTGTAGCCGAGCGCAAAAATCGCCATATGGTTGAAACCACTCGTGCTTTGTTAATTGATGGAAATGTTCCATACAAATTATGGGGTGATGCTATACTTACTGCATGTTACCAAATCATTGGCGAATGTAATTCGCTATCAGTCGTAGCGAATTATGACACGTGACAGTCAGGTAAAAAGTACTGTTCGCGTGACATTTGGATAAAAAATTTACCAAAAAGTGACATTTGGTCATTGTTCCAAATTTTTCTCTCCTTTTTACTATGAAAAATAAGTTCCAAAGAAAAGTGCAAAATATTTAGAGACAATTATGTTTTTAATATATCAAAATTTGAAAACTACGTTTTTTGGAAATATTTCAATTCATTGTTTCGTAACTAATCCGATTCAGGGGCGGGTCAATGATTAATGCTTTAAATTTGAAAACTACTTTAATAATTGATTAATACCGTCAATTATCATATTATATGCTATTCGTCACTTACTTAAATGGTATAAAAGGGATATGTAAAATTTGATTTACAATTATCATTCTGGAAGTGCAAAGGTGTGAGAATAACATTTTTGTTTTTAATTTTACCCATTTGAACAATTAAAAAAGCTTTTCTTTCTTAAAATTTGTATCACTATAATGGACTCTGTTTTCAAATCAACTAGGCGTGCCGTTTCACTAGTTAGTACTCTGAAGTTGATTCGCCAAATTATATATAATTAATGACCAATAAGAACCCAAGAGTTCGTAACTGTATCCCTAATACGTATCTCGATTCCTATGCCCTGGGAATCCTCCAAATTCCAATCTATTCCCATCCTTTTACCTTCACCATTTAATTACGCAATTGTAACCCCTTGAATCTGCCTATAAATAAAAGAAAAATAGCCTCGGTGTTCAAAACAATTGTGATAAGTCTATTCAAATATGGCTTCCTCTTCACCCAAATTGAGCATTAAACTTCTGATTGACACAAAGCGTGAGAAAGTTCTCTTTGCTGAAGCATCAAAAGCAGTAATAGACTTTCTCTTTAACTTGCTTTGCTTGCCTGTTGGTACTGTAGTGAGGCTCCTAAAGAAGAATGGCATGGTGGGTAGCATAGGCAATCTCTACAAGAGTGTTGAATTCCTCAATGAAACATACATGCAACCTGACCAACATAAGGATGTTCTCTTGAAGCCAAGAGCTCATATCTCTTCAACTGAAATCTCTGGCCTTCTTCCTGCAAACGATGGAAATGCTGATCACAATTTAGAAACTTCGTTATACATGTGCTATAATAGATGTTACTACAATGTGTCGTACGATGACAATACTCCTTGTCCTCACTGCACCGGTACCATGAACATTAAAGTAATTTATGTCGGCAAGAAGGTTGCAGAAGAGAAAATTTCAAATAGTGGTTTTGTTAGAGAGGTTGTAACATACATGGTGATGGATGATTTAGTGGTTGAGCCCATGTCAATTATATCAAGTATCACATTGATGAACAAGTTCAATATCAAGGAGGTTGGTGCCTTGCAAGAAAGGGTGGTTGAGTTGGGGATGGTTGATGAAGGGATTGGTATTGGGGAAGGGAAGGATAGAAAAGAATAGAGAAGAGGAAAAGAAGATTGACCAAATTAATCTATGATTCTCATTGATCGTTTTCTTGAAATAAATAACCTAGCAATCCTAATTTGTAAAGGACTAAATAACTAACAATCCTAAATTACTGTTAACTGGGAATTTAAATAACTGAAAGATAAAAGCTATTATCTAGGAAACTAAATAACAGAAGGATAAAAGAATAATCTTCCTACTAATTGCAATAAAGTCTTATCCTAATAAAATAGAGCTTAATTAAATAAATAATCTTTGAAGTGGGCTGGAATTGTTGTTGCACGTTTGGGCCTGTATGCTTCATTCCCCACCTCATCAGAACAGGCCTTGTCCTCACGGCCCAGTATAGGTGAAACGCTTGTGGGCTGATTGGGAAAGACAGACTGAGGCGGGTCTCCTGCTCTGTTTGCGGCCCAGTGGCATGGTGGTCCCATGGATTATCTTGAAGAAGCTGACTTGGCAAGCAGGCATTGGCTGGAAATCCGCGTAGACAATTCTGATTGGTGCGTGTATGATGTGCCTTATCACCTCGGCCAGCATTGGATTCCCCATGGAGTGGTCCCTGTGAACCTTGGGCAGTGGGAATTTCTTGTGCAGTGTGCGCTGACCCATGTGAGTGACCAGTGGATATTGCAATGTCTCTTGGTGCCTTCTTGTGTGTCGAACCGGAGTCCGCGCCAGCGTGCAACGACGCTTGAGTTTCTTGGGTCGCGTGAAATGTATCTTCACGAGGTACAGCAGAGGCTCTTGAGCAGAGTGTAGGGCTGGTGGAGCGGATGTTACTTGTGACAGCTGGTAACACGCCTTCAGTAGCCTTTGAATCGTTGCCCTCTTCATTCCATCTTTCTAAATATTTTTCATCTTCCCATGTAGCAGCTTCTTGAGGAAGATTAGTCCATTGGATAAGCAGTTGGGTGATTGGTCGTCCTTGACGCCACACCTTGCGGGTCGCAAGTATAGTGTGTGGAATATGGATGAGGTCTTCAGTATCAATGGAGGTTGGGTATTGTGGAGGGGGTCTGTCCTTACGGTGATAAAATGGTCGTAGTAAGGAGATGTGGAAGACTGAATGAAGTTTGGCGTCCGGTGGTAACTAGTCGGTACGCCACCTTTCCTATCTGTTCTAGTATTTTGTACGGTCCATAGAACTTGGGAGCTAACTTCTGTGATGAACGGCCACGCAGGGAAAGTTGCCGGTATGGTTGTAAACGAAGAAGGACCAGATCTCCGATGGTGAAGGTAAACTCGCATCTTTTCTTGTCAGCTTGAGTTTTCATTGCATGTTGTGCCTTTTTTAAGTGTTCTTTTAGATTTTGCAGAACTGAAACTCGATGATGCAGTGTTGAATCAACGGCTTCAAGTGGTGATGTTCCCAACGAATACCGTAGTGGACACGGTGGAGGTTTGCCAAACGTAGCTTCGAACGGAGATGTACCTATGCTGCGATTGTATGCAGTATTGTAGTGATACTCTGCCAAAGGTAAAAATTTTAACCATTCTCTCTGCTTTTCAAACGTATATGCTCTGAGAAACTGTTCTAACGTTCGATTGACTCTTTCGGTTTGTCCGTCGGACTGGGGGTGGTACGCCGAACTGTAACGAAGTTGTGTGCCTTGGAGTTGGAATAAAGATTTCCAAAAAGCGCTGAGAAAAATAGGGTCACGGTCTGTGATGATGGACTTTGGTGTGCCATGTATTTTGCCCACATTATCCCAAAAGACTTGTGCAACTTTGGAGGCAGTATATCGGTCTGGAAGTGGAATAAAATGTGCTCCTTTGGTGAGACGATCCACGACCACGAGGATGACAGAGATTCCTTGGACTGGTGGCAGATGTGTGATGAAGTCCATTGTTAGCTCGGACCAAATTTCTGTAGGAGGTGCAATTGGCTGCAACAAGCCATAAGGTGAGTGATTAATGGGTTTCACTCTTTGGCATACTTCACAAAATTTCACAAATTCTTGTACATCTTTTCTGACTGTTTTCCATGTGTAAAATGTGCATAAACGAGACAATGTCCTCCTGACTCCTGCATGTCCACCTATGGGTGCTGAATGGAACTCTTTCAACAGACTTGGGATTAATGAAGAGTGTTCAGGCAGAAAGACACGACCACGGTGGAGTAGTAGTCCATTTTTAATATCCCAGTTTCCCTTTTTTTCTTTGGATGACTGTATTTCCCCCATTAATTTTGCTGCATAAGTGTCTGCTTGTAATTCCTTCTGTAATACTGGTAGATAGTGAGAACTGGGTGTGGATAATGATGTTAATCGTGCGACTGGGGTTTCACTAACCCCTTGAAGTTGCCTGGATAATCCATCAGCAGCAGCATTAGTGATGCCAGATTTATAAGTGATTGTGTACTGGTATCCTAGTAATTTCGCCAGAAATTGCTGCTGTTCTGGTGTTTGGATCACTTGAGACATCATATGGTGTAAACTCTTGTGATCAGTTCGTATGATAAAACTGGATCCCAAAAGATATTGCCTCCATTTGCTAACTGCCGCGGTAATTGCATACATTTCTCTGATGTATGTGGATTGGTTTTGCATACGTGGAGATAATGTTTTACTAAAATAAGCAATCGTACGGTCATCTTGTAGCAAAACTGCCCCAATACCTGAACCCGACGCATCTGTTTCAATTGTAAATGGTTTACTGAAATTTGGCAGCATTAAAATGGGCGCTTCAGTGAGACGCTTCTTTAGATCTAGAAAAGCCGTGTGAGCCTCGTGTGTCCAATTGAATTCACCTTTGGTAAGTAGGTCCGTAATTGGTGACGCAATTTTGGCATATCCTTTAATAAAACGTCTATAATATCCAGATAAACCCAAAAAAGCGCGTACCTGTGTAATAGTCTTAGGAGTTGGCCATTCTGAAACTGCCTTTATTTTTTCTGGGTCAGGTGCGACGCCTGCGCCGGAAACAATGTGTCCCAGAAAGTGTATAGAGTTAGTAGCAAAGGCGCATTTAGAAATTTTGGCATATAGGCAGTGTGAGCGTAATGTTTCCAGAACTGTAAGTAAATGTTGAACATGTTCTGTCAAATTAGGACTATAAACCAGAATATCATCAAAAAATATGACGACAAAACGCCGTAAGTATGGTGCAAATACTTCATTCATCGTAGCCTGGAAGGTGGAAGGTGCATTTGACAAACCGAATGGTAAAACCAAGAATTCAAAGTGTCCATGATGTGTACGAAATGCTGTTTTGTGGATGTCATCAGAGTGCATGCGAATTTGGTGGTATCCAGACCGCAAGTCCAGTTTAGAGAAAACCGTAGCTCCATGGAGTTCGTCTAGTAATTCGTCCACTGTGGGTATAGGAAATTGATCACGCACAGTGATGGCATTCAGAGCCCGATAGTCCACACAAAAACGCCAAGTGCCATCCTTCTTTTTGACTAATAAAACAGGAGAACTGAATGGCGATTGACTTGGTCGAATAATACCGGACTTAAGCATTTCCTGACATAGTTTTTCGATTTCATTCTTTTGGAAATGAGGGTAACGGTAAGGTCTAACTTGGACAGCTTTAGAATTGGGGAGTAGAGTAATATGATGATTATGGGAACGGTTGGGGGGTAATGTGGTGGGAATGGTGAAGACATCAGAGTAGTTGGCCAATAATTGTTGGACTTCATGAACTGTATGGGGGATGGGATCAGTGTGTGAAGGTGTAGTAATGGTGGAATTGTGGTCGGATTGGGTAAAACACAGCAGGCATGAAGTGTAGGCATTACTAGCAATAAGCTTGTTAAGTTTTGCCGGTGAAATCATCAGGGAAGTATCTGGCCGTTGTCCTTGTAGTTGAATAGTAATGCCATGGTGTTCAAAACTCATTAGCAATTTTCCATAATCCGTAAGAATGGGTCCCAATGTGGCTAACCATTGAACTCCTAGAACTATATCAGCGCCTTGTAAGTCCAACACATATAAATCCAAGAAAAATCTGTGAGATTGCAGCATTAACGGAATGTCACAACAAAGAGCCTTGCAGGTCAACCCCTCGCCATTGCCTACTTGGACCGTAAATGGGTGAACGGTTTGTAGTACAAGTCCCAAGTAAGTGGCCATTTTATGAGTAATAAAGTTATGGGTGCTACCTCCATCAACCAGTATTTGGACCTGTTTGCCATGTATTGTTCCTGTTAAACGGAAAGACCGAGGGGAATAATGACCAAAAAGAGCATTCAAACTAATCTCGGAAAAAGAATTAGGGGTAGAGTCTGCATCTGGCGGAATAATTGGAGTGTCCTCCTCCATTGGTTGGGCATTATCATCGTCAGTGCCTTCAAAATATAACAAGGTGGCTTTTCCTTTACATTTGTGTCCGAACACATACCTTTCATCACAGCCAAAACAAAGTCCTTTGTCACGTTTGTTTTGAATTTCCTCCGCGGTTAGGCGTTTAATTGGTACGGAAGGAGATGAAGTAGTATTTTTGTTGGAGGAAAACGTGTTTGAGTTGTTATTGTTGGTAATAGATGGGCGTGGTAGCCATGGTCGTTGTTGTCGGGGACCACTGTGGGTGTCAGCTTGCTGGTCTTCATAAATCTTGGCTAATGAAAAAGCAGAATGGACATCCTGTGGTCGTTGCACAAGGACTGGTCGCCTGATGTGGGGTTTAAGGCCTGCAATAAATAGCGCCCTTTTAAGTGTTGGGGAGAGACCTGGAGTGCGGCTAGCAATGATCTCAAAATTTGCTTGAAAATCGCTAACGGTGGTCTGTTGGCGAAGGTTAGCCAAAGAAACCGCGGGGTCCTCAAATTCTGATGGCCCAAAACGGCGTTGCATAGCCGTAAACAAGGCAGGCCAATTGGGAAGCAGTCCATCATTAAAAAGGCCATGAAACCAGGAAGATGCTGGTTTGTCCAAATTGAAAGAAGCTAATAAAACCCTCTCATTATCTGGAATGTGATAATAATCAAAATAGCGTGTGGCACTAAATATCCAGTCGGTGGGGTCTCCATCAGAGAAGCGTGGAAAGGT